CTAAATTTTCTCAACTGGATAGTATCAAATATCATGGGGCATCTGCCCCAAACAGGTGCGACTGCCAATTTTTTAGGAATGCAGGAAGTCAGCTGTCTAGCATTTTCCAACCTTGACCAATTGTAACAGAGGTGTCACAAATAAATACACACTTCAAATGGTGATGACCATTCATAGCCTTAGTACTTGTGAAAACTGATGGTTAATGGAATGTATCATGAACAATACTATGCACCATTGTTAAAGGTTTGTTACAATTACTTCCATACCATTCTTTCTTCTGAGCAGGACGAAACTGGAAGTTTCTTAGTGATTACATGCTGGTATGAAATATTTAAAGTGAAGCTACAGTGCAAAAAGCTTTTGAAATGTCTTTTGCAGTTGGAAAATATTTCAAGTCACATTTGTATCACATGGAGGTAGGAACTGTATTTCTAAAACTTTCCAACAGGTACAGGAGGGAACAATTTTTAAAGAACTTGCCTCCTTCAAAGTGACAGGAGGCTTATAAAATATAATGATCATCCTCCTCTTATAATATCAAAATGCTTCACATATATGGATGATGTCTAGTTAACAAAACAATTATAAACTGTAAGTTCATCACTTACATTACCTCACTGATCCTTAGAGCAGGACAGCAAGATAAGCCAGTTTAGGGCATGAAACTGGAAAACGGGGTAACTAAAATTTTTTAGTCAAAGTGATATTTGGAATGAGGATATTCCACATTGCAGTGCGTTTTATTCTAATCTGACTATTGTATTTGTATCCCTTACTCAGGTAAACACAGAAACTCTTCAACAATATTTTTCCCATATCAGCGGGAAAATGATCAGGTCTCAGATTTTGTATTAGAATGGATACATACGGAAGAAAACCAAGTATGAATGAAACATTGACATTACATGGATGCCTTGGTTAACTGTGTTATGAAAAAATGTTATCTTCCAAAATGTAGCATGGAATATTTTAAATCTGAAAAAAATGAAGAGTAAAGTAAAACCCTCAAAAATAAATGGAGTAGAAATATACAAATAACATATATTTGATTTTACTGTAAAACCTTTGAGGACTTTAAAGAACAGGTAGGTACACATCAAAAAGTCTGAGAGGTGAGACAACTTCTGTTACACAGTACACAACTTACAGTCCAGTTCAATGCATTTTTAATCAAAACTAAATTTCACATCAAAATGACTGACTCCTGGATAGGACAGAAGTAAAAAGAAGGATAGGACAGAAGTAAAAAGAACAGATATGTTTTCAAAAAAGCCCCTGTTTTATGAATGTTATGTAAAAGGATTTAAAAAGTTCAATTTCTGGATTACAACTCCTAAAAGAGTCCAATAAGCAAGTTCACTGGATATCTTGGCTGAGGTACACTGGTAACTCTTCATGCTTGTTTATAGGTCCCCAGATATCACATGCCTAATCAATGGAGTTCATCAGGCAACCCATTATCAAAACTGATGACAGATTGCATCTGATTTTTGAACCCCAGGTACAAACTGCTATGGGCAAACCACTGAACAGCTTTGCCAGAAGATTCATTAACAATGAACATTCATTAAGAGTGAAAAGAAAGGATGGGGTTATTTCACCTTCCCATAGATGGACCATGATGATGACAACAATAATTGCCATTAGGAAAATTCATCTTGACTATTGCCTTTCCTCTTACATTAGCACACTTTAATATAATGCTAAAGGCTGCAATGGATATTTACAATTATCCACTTACATACAGTTGACACTTAGCTTTTTCAATAAAATCCCTTACCATATCTGCATGAACTTTTAGTATAATTCATGTACATGCAAACATTTCAAAATACAGAACACAAACTATGAAAACATTAATCTGCAAATTATGTTCACACAAATAGGTTCACACAAATACAAATCACAGTACAGATCTACTTGACGTGATAAAAATTCTAGGATTCTTGCTCAGGTCAGAAAAGGTGACTTCTACCTATCATATTTCCACAAAAAGAAAAGAAAAATTGTAAAAAGGTATGTGTGCATGCATTCAAAAGACACAGCAGTAGAGGCAAAATATAACACATCCTATACAAAATTTAATTTGGTAAGTTAGGTTTTTAAAAAGATGATACAATTAAATTAATTATTTGTCTTTATGTAAAGCATGTGAACAAAAAGACAGAATATAAAAGAATACACACAGAGATGGAAACATAAAACAAGAGGGAACAGCAGAGAAGGAAATGAAAGGAAAAGAAAACAGAGTTCTAACAGGCCCATTCTACTAACAGGAGTCCAACTAAAAAGTCATATGATATCTGATAGTGCAGGACACGTCGCCAGGAGCTGGAGCGGATTGCCTGAAAAAAGAAAGGGCCAGTGTACTCCTGCTCAAAGAGCTTTTCTTTCCCTGTTTTTGTTTCTTTCCCCCTCCTCTCTTTCTCTTTTCTCTTCTACCATGAATGCTTTAGTCCTAGGGTCAGGTCCATGAAGAATCTCAGAAAAAGAACTATCATATTTCACCGTACTTCAGGATTCAAAGATAGCTGATGGAAGATGCTTCTTAGTCAAGAATGAAGGGACTTATGTAGATTTTGGCACAGACTACTCCTCCCTCCTGTTGCCACCTCTGGGATTACAGGTGCAAAATGGAGACATACAATGTCATAGAACAAAAACAAAAGGGAAAAATGTATTTTAAGGGAAAAGGATGCAAGAGGTGCAGAAATTTGGCTTTTTTCTATGAAAATTACAGCAATCATAGGTGTTGATTAGTAAAGTATATTTTAAACTTTAAATACTGAAGGAAATGTAAATAGTAAAATAAAAATAATGCAAATATGCTTGGGGATACAGAAAAAATTACATGCTTAAAATAAACAATCTGTAAAAGTTATTTGATTTCTGCTCACTTTCAGGAGGATGAGAGAAACACTGTATAGCGCCTCATTTCTACCTAATTTCTTTACAGAGACATTTCATGTTCAACCATGGAGCTCTTGAAGACAAGGATGTATCAGAAATCCCTTTATGTTTATATTGTGAAGCATATTTCAGTCCAGTTGCTGCAATTAAGTTACTCTAGCCACTTAACTGTAGGACTAACTTGTCTTTGTACCTCCTGAGTAAACATGGCACATTCCTTCTGAAATAACATCCAGTAAGCACGTGTACTGTTATTGTTACATAAATATATGTAGCATATATTGAACTGTAATGCATCAACTCTTTTAGGAGACAGTAGAATTTTTAAAAAAAAACACACAGAGAACCAAACGGTATTAATAATCAGCTGTAGCATCACTAAACAATTGTAACAGTGCATTCTAATAAAATTTGTACATTCCGCATATCTATCTAAAAATCTACATTAAAACTTGTGTGGAAGACACATGAAGCCACCTGTACTAATGTAGTATTACACAGGTAATGTTTGAATAAAAATAGTAATTAATTAAAAGAGACGACTTTGATAATTAGAATCCCTTTTCTAGGCTTGTGAATATTCAAGGTCTTGCATACTCAAGATTTATTTAATAACATTAAGATGTTTGCTAGTATATTTCTATGTACTGTATCTTGTTCAATAACTATTCATCTATCTACTTTTTTATAGTACTAGCCAAAATGTATTGTGCAATGTTATATATTCTAGAGTGAAATACATCACTGCACATATAGATGTAATTTATGGAACCTATACTTCACAAATTGCGTACAAGAGAGGTAGGTAGGTACTGAAGGCATGATTCTATCTATAGGATAAACAACAATACCCACTCAGTAAAGCTCTTCAACCCTCTTGCAGGAATATAGTATGATCTGCAGAAGGCCAAAGAAAACCGAGTCCCTGAAAGTCTGTATTATGTACAGACTTTCCCTTCCAGGAGCCCTAACTTTTTAAGGGGGGGGGGTAATGTTTGAAAGTGGAAGAATTATCCCTCATTTATTCTTCAATGCATCTTCTTCATTTTCCCCTACCTTCTCGGTTACCGAAATGAAATGTCTTGAGAAGAGAAATGAGGGAGGAGGGAAACAAGAGCTTAACTTTCCTGTCTGTGATCCCTCATCAGATAAAAGTTACCAAAACGAAAGCTATATTTTAGAAAGGCTTTTTAAAAAACAGAAACATTCCCCTCTTTCACTATTTCAACACTCTTTTAGATTTTTTAGGATGTAGAGAGGAATAATGTTATTTTAAAAATATGGCCAGTTGAGAGAAGCGTTGGTTCAGTTGTTGTCCCCTTTTCTCTTCGAAAGGAAGGGGGGGAGACTTAAAAACTGAGGCAAAAACATATCTCAGGCGTTAAGCTTGCACTCCCTTCTTTTCCTTTGTAAAGAACTCTTTGTTCTCTAGTGAAAATGCTGGAGGAAAGAGGAGGGAGAAAAAAAAAATCCCCGGGCAGCGACTCCCTGAAACAAGTGCAAAACACTTAGAGGCTTTTGGGCTGGCTGAGAGCCAGAAACCCTCCCGCTGTCTGGTTAGGAAAAGAGGAAAAGGAGAGGAGGAGGAGGAGGAGGAGGAGGACAGAGAGAGTGAGTGAGTGAGTGAGTGAGAGAGAGAGAGAGAGAGAAAGGCAGCGCGCAAGAGGCTGGGGGGGAGCACTGACGCTTCCTTTAATAGACATAGGAAGCGGGTGTTTTTTTTTCAAAACTGGCGGTCAAGCGTTAAGTAACTCCCCGCCTAAATCCACCTGCTCGGAATGAACTTGGGTAACCCCTCGGGGTGCCTGAGGAGAACCAGCTACTCCAGACTCTTCTCCCCTCAACCGCTGCTCCATTCTTCCTGCTCCCGTCACACCAATGCCCACAGCTCTTCCTCCCTCCCCCCCGCCCTCGAAACAACAACAAACACACCAAAATACACGCTTGCTCCATCTCCTTTAAAAACCTAAAAACGAAGAAGTAGAAGAAGAAAGAGAAGAAGAAAGCGGGGTGCGAGGGGGGGGAAAGAGAGGCGCCTTTCCCTCTCGGTTGCGACACAGTGATAAGGGGTAGCGAACATCTCATACCTGGTGTGAATGCTAATCAGCCAGGAGTTCTCCTTTTCCCCCAAGCCAGGGAACTGTATCCTTCCAAATTTATTAGAACCTCCTTCTCTGCCTCTTTGAAAAACCTTCTTTGTCACCCTCTTCCCAAGTCCTGATACACTTTTTTTAAAAAATTAAAAAAAATGGCTTCGGAGCTCTTTCTATTCTTGATATTGATTCTCTCTCTCTCTCTCTCTCTCTCTGTCTCCCCCCACCCCTCCTCCTTTCTCCTGTCTCTGTCTCTTCTGAGTGGTCTATTGATAAGTCCCTAGAGGCACTGGGTCAGCCTGCCCGTAGGAAACCAGACACAATGCACAAATCTCCGAGTGCCATTCTGCCATCAGCAAGCAGACCACGTTTAGGAGAGAGGAGGAAAACACACACGCACACGCACACACACACATACACACACACACAACAGTAAAGCAAAAGACAGAGACAGTGTGTGTGAGAGTGAGAGAGAGAGTGAGAGAGAGAGAGAGAAAGAGAGACTGATTGGAACAGGAGGGGGAGAGAGAGAGAGAGAGAGAGAAAGCAAGGCCGAGAGCGACACTGCCAGTCAGGTTAATCATCCCTACTTTAATTAGCTGTTCGGCTTAGACATAAAACAATTGAATTTGAATGATCTGTCAGTGGGCTCGGCTGAACCAAAAGGGAAATGCGAATATTACAAAAAAGACTGTTGGTGGATTCTGATATGCTAGGCTGGAAATCCTCAAAGGGTAACTATTAGAACTTGCCACAAAACAAAAAGTACAAATACAAATGACATTATACAATAAACTGTTTCCTAAACAGCCACATATGACCATTTCCCCCCTCTTTTTTTTACCTCGAATTGTTGGAGAAAACAGAAGGTTCAGATTAGATACAAGCATACATAAACTCTTACATCTGTGTCTGGTAGGAAAGGGGCTATTTAAGGTATCTTTTGCAACAACTTTATTCAATTTCTCCCTACAGAATGCATGTTAATATTAACTGATCTAAATGCGTATATGTAGGATAGATAGGTGGTACAGATGGCTCCATCACCTTTTTTTTTCTGAGGTAAACAAACAAATATCACCTAGGGCACCATACCAAGGATGACACTGGAGTCTGAAAGATATGCCTACTTCAGTTCTACTAAGAAGAGTCCTACAGAATCAGAGCAAAGGTCCACCTTATTTCTCACAGTGGCCACAAAGTTCCAGTTCCACCAGTACAGAACTCCAAGATGTCTCAAGTTTGTGATTGTTAAGGGCTGATTCACACTAATGGCAAGAACTGGTGTAGGATCATTATGAGTTCAACAGAGCCTCCTTGTTAATGCTACTGGGAGATTTCTTCCTGATTCAAATTGCAGATGCAAGGAAGGTAGGTATTATTTTCATTGTGACCACATAAGAGAAGGAAAGGCAAAATTACTCCCTTTCACTTACCATGGTCCTCATCCTGACCACACACATCCTGTCATCTGTTTGCAGTCTTTAAAATGCATGTTGTTTTTATACTCTTAGGAGCTAGGAAATATCAGAGAATTCAGCACTTTGAGTACAGCAGAACAACTGATGTGAGTGCAGGAAGCCAATACATGGACACACCTCTGTTCTGTGTAAAGTGTTGCAAACTGCTGGTTAAACAATAAGTATAGATAAGACCAGTCCTCATTCATCAATGTTTAATTCTGTTAAATTTATGAGTATTTTAAACTGGACACTCACTATCCATAACCAAAGCAAACAAAAAAAAAATACACAATAATAACAAGCATTCCAGAGGCAATCAATATCAGCTATCAATGGCAGATAGAGGTTCATGAGTTTTGTAGATAGGATGGCAATGTTTGATATTATGAATAAACAATTTCTTGTACTGCAGAAACTCCTCAAGAGAAGGAGGAGAAATTCTCACTAAAAACCCAGGTGCAGAATAATTTATTCATTCAGAATTTGGATGCAATCTGAGGTAGAAATGGATTAATCCTAGTGATAGACATCACACTGAAGTGCTATGTAGCAAGCAGGTGAGATATTTATGACACTTCTGAAAACGTGCCATAATTGGTACCTGAAATGGGGAAACATGTAACATTCTCTTGCTATTACAAAGTGTGCCACATATGACTTTCCAATGCTGCACTGGCAAAATGTCCATTTAGCATGCTGGCTTCAGTATGATGGTGATATAAAGGTCTAGTAACAAAACCTGGTTTGATATTGTTTTTATAATTACAACTTTGATTTGCAGCAATATGACAGAGGAAGAGAATATTGCTAGCAAGAGGTACAACATGTTATCTATATTCCAAATTAGGTTAGACTTAATTCTATACATTTGTTATCAAGCCTGTCAACATTTGCTATATGTTTTTGAATAGGTTATACAAATGTCAGTTCTGTCAAAAACAGTATCCAAAGTGGTGAAAACAAAATGAAGCAAAAAAGAAACAACAGCTACCCACCATCATCAGAGCAACAAAAAAGCTTCAGTAGAAAAAAAAAAGTTCCATTGTACAAGGGGTGCTACCACAGAAAAAATCCAGCTCCTCATCAGTTCTTAAAGTGAGTGGGATGGAAAATAATACGTATTCCACAGATTTGAAATAATGAGAAGGGCATGTATGGGAGGAAGAGCTGGACTAAGGTAAGCAGGGTATCAGGTTGTTTTAGGCTTTAATAGCTGCCATCAATACTTGGAATTGAACTAGGAAGTAAAGGTAGGCAGTACAATCAAGCTAGAAATCAGAGGATTTCTGTGATCGATCTCGGTAAGTTATTAAATCACAATATCCTGCTCTAGAATAGCAATCCATTCTCAAAGACACTTCTGTGCAGAGTACTGTATATTGGGTAATTCAAACATGAGGTTACCAAATCTATGAATCAGAAGAACAAAGCTCAACCAAGCAAACCAACAAAAATCCAAAAATAAGGATAGCATCATGACCTGGTAAAAATAACTCCTGCCATCTAAACTTCAAAAGCAGGATGGAGTGTAGAGACCCTAATGCTGCCAAATATGGAGGGGGCTGGAAATGGAACTTACTGTATTTGGGAGTGGAAAAACTGAATGCCCTGCATGTACTGACTTGGTACAACATAACTACTGCATGGTCTGGACCACGTTTGCATCAATACTCATAGTCATCTGATGACTATATTCTGGAATTTGCCTAGGGAACCAACCAGTGAACTGGTGGAAAAGAAAAATACAGCTGAGACATAATGATGGCAAACAATTTTCTCCACAGATGATATATAGATATTTAACAGCTTTCTAGGGAATATGGAATCTTAAGACATTGCCACAGGTCAAGTCCTATGAGGCAGAGCAGCAGTTATCCAATGCTGCTTCTTGACTTTGACCCATCAGATAAAAGTGAAACACCGTGCATCCAACTCCCATTGGTATATACCAGCTGAAGAGGATAAGATGATTAATGCAATCAAATGACATTCAGAGGTTAGAGGAACAAGCAGGGTCATTCTCCCCTTCTCAGTTCCAAATGCAGATGATCGACCAGGACAGTTAAAGGTATTTAAGATCTGAAGCCTGACTTGATATGGTTCTGCAAAACTGTATCATATTACTGTTCATGGTTTAATTTCTGAAGAGATGGAAGGAAGGAGAAACCTCAGGTGGTCCAGAATGCGGCAGCCAGGCTTCTTAGTGGGGTGAGAAAACACCAGCACATCTCCCCCGCTCTGGCTGCATTGCACTGGTTGCCCATCCGTTTCCGCATCGACTTCAAAGTGTTAATGATTACAGATAAAGCCCTAAACGGTTTGGGACCTCAATTTTTGGCAGATAGTCTTCTCCCACCCAGATCTACCCGAATCACCCGACACAGCCAGCAGGGACAGCTGAGGGACCTGATGCCGAGGCAGGCCCGGAAGGAAAAAACAAGAAACCGGGCCTCCTCGGTGGTGGACCCTCAGCTGTGGAACACTCTCCCTACTGAAATTTGGCTGGCACCCTCGCTGGGCATTTTCAAAAGCCAGTTAAAAACTTGGTTATTTAAACAGGCCTTCCCTCCAGTCAATTAAGTTAATTTTTTTCTCCTCTTCTTGAGTCTTGCCATCTTGGAAATGTGTTGTTTAGAATTAATTGTAATAATTGTATTTTTAGATATGTTTTCTTATTCTGTTTTAATTCATGTAAGCTGCCCCGAGTAGACGTTGTCTAGAGGGGCAGGGTAAAATTCGAATAAAATAAATAAATAAATAAACCTACATTTTCAAAATTATGTCAACAGAAGACTTCTCTTCATTTTTAAAAATATTTCTTTGTGAAAATTGTTTTAAGTGATTCCTACTACAAGTATTTACATTACAATGCAGATAAATACTTAATGGTCACAAACAACAGTGTTATATTTACAGCACAGAGGGATATGAGGAGGCTTGTTAGATGAGAATGAAACTAATTTTAAAGCTAATCCTATGAATATTTTTCAGAACTCATTAAGGTTATCCACCAAAACCCACTACCACAAATTTCCCAATCAATGTTCTTAGAATTGCAGAAGTTGTCTTAGACCTAGATGGATCTATCCTGTCAGTATACTGAGGAGCAGTTATTAAGGAAAAAATAGGATGACTCATGCTATAATGTAACAGAATTAGCTTTGGCTTCTCATATATTAACTTTGAGATCATGCTTTCCAAGTTGTACTAGAGAAGAAGATGACATATTTTGGAAATAAACATAAAACAATTACATTATTTGTGATAAGCAATAAAGTATATATATGTAGGTCATTCTACAGCTCTTGTAAACCTAGCTCAACAGAACTTAAGCTTCAACATGGGTGTGAACCACCTTGGGACCTTATTTCTTATTTAAAATTAAAGTCAATTTATTTAATTAATTAAACAAGAGAAAGGCAGGATACAAATATTTTAAATTAAATAAATAAATTGACTATGCTTTTAAATAGGAAATGGTCAGATGAAGAGCAAGAGTCAAAAGTGTAGTATAATATCCAATGCCACAAGGTTTGGGGTTTTCTTCACTTCCCAGTATGTTACCAAAAAGCTGTTTCTCAGAGCTCCACAGCAAGTTTTTAAGGATGCTGAATGGATTGTTGAGGGAGTGTTGACTCTGGAGAAACAGTGGACTTTAATGGGTTTTTTTGGGGGGGGGGATTGCAATAATTAAAAT